CGGGGCGACATTAAATTTTATTGGGTATACTTAGGAGAGAAGAGGTAGCCCATATTAATATGCAGTTGTCAATAATATTATATACTTATACGCTTATCGTGAACTTTCATTTAATAATTATATTTATGATGAACGGATGTAACTATGTAAGTCTCTACACGCGAGACCTAATGACAGGTTAAAAAAATACACATTAAAATATGTTTGTAAAAGGATAAAAAAAGGTGTAAATTCCTACGACCTACAGGGTAAAAAAAGGTGAATACTGTAAGTTCCTACACGAATATACAAAATTAAATGTGTTACTGTGTAAGTTGCTACATGAGCTATGATAAAAAAAAATATTTATTATAATATATATAAACTATATACAGTATACATTTTTTTATGTATCTTAAAAAATACGGAATTATATTATTTTATCATATTATTATCATAAAATGTATGAAAATGAAATATAATTGTATATAGTACCTAATATATTTTTCTGTCGAGTAGGAATTTACATACGCACCTTTTTTTGCTTGTTGTTACTTACACAATATCTCATTTTTATGTTAGTATATAAGAATTAACATACGAACCTTTTTACCGTCTATAGGAACTTACACATCTCATACTATGTAGGAATTAACAATTAACGTATATAATTTTTTACCAGCTTCTCTCGTGTAGGATTGTAGGAACTCACAATCCCTTCTATATAATGATGCATAAATATTTTAAAAATCTACGACAATCAATAACATACTTGTCTAAAAATGAGTAGAATTTCTTTTGTATTTATTGCAGACACCACATATATAGGTATTTGTATACAATAGGTATGTATGTGCTATCTAACCAGCCCCTCTTTATATAAAAATTATTGAAAGTTGTATTTTTCAGTAAATAAAGGTTATTGGAATCGAAACTAAAAATAAAATCACTATAGTTAAGACAGGGCTCAGTGACTAGTACCTAATAGTAGAAGTTTACTGATTTTTCGGTCATTGTACAGGACAACTGTCCATTGGTTTCCAACCCGGACCAGATGGATTCCGATCAAGATGGAGCGGACAAAAAAGGCGATGCTTGCGACAACTGCCCGACCATACCGAATCTAGATCAGCACGACACGGACAACGATGGAATAGGAGACGCCTGCGATGCGGACATCGACAATGACGGTAAGTGCTATTAATTTCTACGCGTTATAGTTTGATAAATTTGAAAAAAATCGATATATTTAAGTTAATACAATTATAAGCTATTACACATCATGGTAAACATTCCAGGAGTACTGAACCACGAAGACAACTGTCCGAAAAAGGCGAATCCCGATCAAAGGGACACGGACGGCGATGGTCTTGGTGACGTTTGTGACAACTGCCCGAGTATGCACAACCCCACCCAAACAGATTCCGACAAAGACCTGATAGGCGATGCTTGCGATAGCGACATCGACAGGGACAGGTATACGATATAAATACAATAAACTATACCTAATAATATTAATAAAAAATGATACAAGGTGATCAACTGATACAAGATGAGTACAGATGAACTAGTTAAATCATACACATAACGACATAACATTTGGTACAGATTTTCTCAATCAATTTTCGTGATTATGAAATAAAATTTGTAGTATAATAAAACTAACTTTTATCATTAGGTATTGTGCAGGGGTATTTCTCTAATACGCGGATTTTCTAAATTTCATGGGGTGCTTTCTCATAACACCTATACTAATATTAAATATTGTTTCATTCATTTCCGCACCCCGTGGAATGGGTCAATGGTCATGGCCCATGGGGTGCTTGAGCGCCGCAGCACCCCACAATTGTCAACGCCTATGCAGTTATACCCCACTAGAATTTATTTGAGACCTGAGAAAACATTTAAGAGATAACATGTATTTTAGATTTATGAAGAGGAGCGATGAATGTATTGAACCTATACATAATATATTTATTTTTGAGTCTGGCATTACCTCATAGTCTTATTAAGCAGAGAAAATTCTTCAACCTTCGACTTCAGTACTTTTTTAAGTTTAGAGGAGTCCATCTAGTTTGCTCTTTAGGGGGTGAAAGCAAAAAATTCCAGTACTTGAATTAATAATTGAGAAAAACAAAAAAAATAATGAAAACTGAAATTTGTATTAAATCAGTTTTCGAAAAAATCAGTTCGTTATGCTGTAATTCATGAACGAAATGTTTAGGTAAATACGTATACTAGCATTTTTCATTTTCTATAGACAGTTTAGGTACATATTAATTTTCAAACAATTTTGACTGAAAATAAAAAATTATGGATAGACATTTGAAATTTATATTTAATTCTTTTTTCTATGAATGTCGATAATAATTATGCTGTTTTAGTATTTTTTGTCTTTTTTTACAGTAACCTATAATTATAATTTCTGATTCCAAATTTTATTACTTTCTTGAAAATGTTGATGACCTATCAAATAACAATAATGAATAGTTTTTAATTTATAAGCATCAACATTTTTTAACGTTTAGAATTTTTGAAACTGTGACTTTTCTTAGAACAAGTTTAAATTAATGTAATAAGATGAATTTATCTATCACCAGATAGATATAATAATGGAACAGTAGTATGTAGTATAAATAAAAATAAAAACATTGTTAAAGTTTCAGTAGGTACATAACAAAATGAAACAATATACATAAATACTAGTCTATAAAGACTGTCTAACCGGTAACAGTCAATTTTTTGAGATTCGACTTTTTAAGATTCCTGGAGTTAGCGTAAATACTTATTATAATATTTATTGGCAATGAGTTGAAATACGAAGGACCAAGATAATTAACAAATTTATGAGATTTTTTATAGTTAGGTATTTTAGCATCATACACTCTATTTTCTCTTTTGTCATAAATGTATGAAAATTAGTATACTTAAAAAACTTTTTGAACTAGTTTGAATACAATAAATGACTAAAAAACAATTGCGTTTGGACAAATGGATTGCCCAATATTATATATCACTGTGTGCAGTGAGATATTTGTACAATATTACTAATTATGTTATGATTATGATTCAAATTTTGGTTACAAATAGTTAAAAAAAAAACTCAATTAAAATATAGTTAATTAATAATCAACACAATTCGCACAACAGGGACGGCATTCAGGACAGCGTAGACAACTGTCCCAAAGTAGCCAATTCCAATCAGCTGGATACCGACGGCGACGGCAAGGGAGACGAGTGCGATCCGGATATTGACGGCGATGGCATTGGCAACGCGCAGGATAATTGCATGCTTGTGTACAACCCAGACCAGGCCGACTTCGACGGTCAGTAAACGGTAACCATTATTGCCTTGTAAACGTTCCATCATTAAAATCAAATAACCTCGCGATTCGCATCCCCCCGTACAGGCAACGGTGTCGGGGACATATGTCAAGACGACAACGACTACGATAAGGTGCCAAACCATTTGGACAACTGCCCGAATAACTCTAAGATATTCACCACGGACTTTAGGACGTACCAGACAGTGGTGCTGGACCCGGAAGGCGATTCGCAAATCGATCCCAACTGGGTGGTGTACAACAAGGGTGCGGAATTCGTACAGACTATGAACAGCGACCCCGGTTTGGCAGTAGGTCAGTATCCGTACACCTCTGGTCTGGTGCTAGTAATAGCCGTAGACATATTATTTAATACTTACAAAATAATATAATATAATACATAGTTTATGACCCGACTAAGGTAGTATTGTCGACCCAACCGCCCATGGATTACTATAAATAATCTATACTATGTCGTTGTTAGGTTACGACTCGTTCGGCGGCGTCGACTTTGAAGGTACATTCTTCGTGGACACCGACATCGACGACGACTACGTAGGTTTTGTATTCAGTTACCAGGACAATCACAAGTTTTATACAGTGATGTGGAAAAAAGGCACTCAAACATATTGGCAAGCGACACCGTTCAGGGCTGTAGCCGAACCTGGGATACAAATCAAAGCAGTGCATTCGGAAACTGGACCTGGGCAAATGTTGAGAAACGCCCTGTGGAATACGGAGAGCACAGACAAACAGGTGAGAATATAAAAATACTATTTATAGAGAATAGATAAAAATAAACTCACATTGTTGTTTCACTTTCAAAACAGGTGAAACTACTGTGGAAAGATCCACGCAACATTGGTTGGAAAGGCAAGACAGCCTACAGATGGATACTACTGCATCGTCCGAAGATAGGTCTTATTAGATTGAGAATATTTGAGGGTCAAAATATGGTAACGGATTCCGGAAACGTGTTTGATTACACATTTAAAGGTGGTAGGTTAGGAGTGTTTTGCTTTTCTCAAGAAATGATCATATGGTCAGATTTGGTTTATCGCTGTAATGGTAAGCAACACACTAAACTTTTTCTATAACTCTATAAGCCAGATATCACATTTATTTAAACATTATTTCAGATAATATACCAGAGGCTATTTATCGTGAATTACCACCTAAGTTACAACAAGAAGTACAATTGGACACAAGACGGGTTTCCAACTAACAAATATGTACTAATATTGTTTAAGATAATATGATAAAAACTTCCTTTAAATCTAATATAGATAGAATAAGTATGAATTTTTAATCAATTAATTTTTAGATTTATTTTTAAAATACATACATTTATCAATAAATCTAAGTTTTAAAAAAATTGCTGATAGTACAAGCAGTTATATTTTATATTGTACAATGAAAATAATCAAAACATTAGGTATTTTTCATGTTTTTTTTTTTGTTTTTACAATACCCTAAAATAGTATTTGATTTAAAAAAAATGTATTTAATAATAAACATATTTAATAATTAAGACTTACAGAGTAAATATTTATGATTAGAGTTTAAAAATAAATTCAATTATTGAAACATAACAGAGTGAATAAACATTACATTTACTCAGAAAAAAGTCGAAACTCATCAACATTTTTCATTGGTTTGAATATACAACAGAACATTATAATACTTAGAAACTAAATTTGCCATCCTCTACCTTCTTTACATTGTTCAATAAGATATTCAACATTTTTAGGTATGCAGAAAGTTCAGTTGGTTCGTGGTCTTTTGAATAATAGAATGTGAGGTTCTGTAAAGAAAAAAAAATTATTATTTGGTTAAGAAAAAACAATAAGGGTTTGGTAAAAAAGGGAAGGTAATCTAATACCGATATATTTTATTTGCAAAGACATTTTTTGTCTCTACTTTTGGCACTTTTTCTGTGCCAGAATAATAGGCAGGAATTACATTTAATATTTAACACGTAATGCTTTTATACCGCTGACGGTCATCTGTAATAATTTTTAAATTTTATACTTTTGTGATAGCCAGCTGCAGCTCCTATAGTTGATCATAACTACCACCGGCAGCCGTAAATTAATAAATGGTTTTAAACTATTAACTTTTAAAGGGAGCTACAAAAATGTACTAAAAATATTGCAATGGGTTACAGGAAATCATTAAACATTTTTTGATATAATAAACATATTTTTTAAGTTTTTTAATGTTTTTTACTATACTATAGTACATACAAATCTCGATACAAATTGAATGACATGTAAAAATATGTCAATAAAACATATAATGTGAAAGGCCGCAGTCACATGGCAGTCAACGTGTTAAGATAATTATTACTACATAAAATATTACTGACTGCCACAAAAGAAAGGCTACATTTAAAGAATACAACATTCTTTAAGCCTTAATTCAGAGGCCCCAAATAGTAAATCGCAGACAAGAAAGAAAAAGTAAATACCGTTAATATTATACATTCTAGAGTTATAATCTATCATTTTTGTTCATTGGGTTTTACCAATGTTTGCAACTTTAATGGCCTATAAAAAATTTCCAGATTTCTTATTTGGCCCTTCAAAAATTTTAATTGGTTACCCTCGTCTTAGTTAATTTTCATCACTACGCCACATGTAAAAGGTGAGCTTACATTAGAGCTCGAACATGAACAAATGCTACTGGATGAATTCAAAAACATATTTAACCTTGATCAGTCTGCGTTTGGGGCAAATGAAAGCATTTGTTCGTGTTTGATTTGACCATTTACATAGGTTTGTTCAGAACCAAGAGAGCATTATTACAGAGCCAAAATAATTACTCTTGTTTAGAATATAAGATTTTCAGGCCAGCTGCCTAAAATTAATAATACCCAAAAACTCACCAGGTTCATGGATCATATAATGAACCCATCCCTTGCTCTGTTGTACTCCAATTGATCTCCATTCGTCTTCAGAAAGTAAATGTGTTTTTGGTATGCTTTTTGCCATCTCTTTAGGCAACACCACATGTCTAAAAATATGTTATAGAATTAAAATAATATTATCAACATTTTAAATTTAAATTAGGTTAAAATAGGTATAACTTTTAAATATACCTACCAACTAATTATATAAACTTTTATTTATGAATAAATATTTATAAAAATGTATTAACTCTTTAAACAAATAAGGTGTAATATTTGAGTAATTGGTAAATAATAATTAAAATTGTTTAAAATGCAGATATTAGTAAATACTTAAGGTGGTAGAGCAGTGTAGTACCTACAGATAATTATATTGTAATATAATATGGCTTATTGTCCGCTTATTGTCAAATATAGGTAAATGTAGATATATTATCACAGCTGTTTTTAAACTATTTAGTTCATGCTTCCCATAAAATAGATTTCATATGCTCAACAACTTCGATGAAAGATATAGGTAAATAATAAAAAAAACAAATAGTTAGGTATCTTTCTTTAATTATTTTTAAAAACAAATAGATACTAACTTATTTTATTTTGTATATTAAAAAAAGATTAATATTATGAACAGTACCTATGATTGTTTCCCACATACTAAAATTTGAAAATTAATGTCAAAAGCACAAACGGTTTAAAAATGAGTGCCCATATCTCATTATTTCTTGCCTCATATCGGGAACTGCTAGGTACTATGCAATATTTAAAAAATAGCTAATTACTACCAAATTGAATCAAATAAAATATTCTCAAAACATCTATTATATACCTAACAGCCGATAAAATAAAGGTACCTATTAGAAAAAATACATTTAAATTGGGAAACTGAACAAATATTAGCAGAGGACCTATCTATTATGTATCTACCAATAAACAAGTTCTACAGAAACTGAATTATATTTTTCAAGTATGTATACAATAATTATCTAAGGCCAGGGGGCCTTCAACACGCTGTTTTTAAATGAAGCCCATGAGCAGATTTTAAGCATAGCATGTTTAAACATGATACCTACATCATAATATGTTAATATTATTACCTAATAACCTTTTTTTTCTTATTATATAATTTTACTGTATATATTTACAGCCATCAATATATTTTAAAAGTAATAGGTGGCATGCTGCCTAAAGAGGTTAAAGGCCCCTGCTTTAAGAGGTGCTTAAAGAAAAAATTACGAATTTAAATGCACAAATAAAACAACCAGTGCAATACTGGTTCTACTACTTATTCTTTTATTTAGCGCACAATCAGTAGGAATGTCAATTATGATTAATACATATTTTTTATTTATTTATGTCATATTGTAAGAAATAGGTTCTGTGAGACATTGAGACATGGAAATACCTGCTTAAAATGTATAAACTTATTTATCTCCAAAAACAAGTACAAGAAAATAAAAAGTGTTTTTCAAAATGAAATAAATTGTCTCATCTGTAGGCATCTATCAGGAAAATTAAATTGTTGTTCACTCTTTTACTCTACATTTACACCCAGTGGCTTACCATTCGAGTACAAAACAATACCTGCATTTAAATAGTAAATTGTACAAACCTGTATTCGTACTTGTCGTCGTAGTATTTGTCTGAATAGTAGATCTGTTTGTCAGACATTGTCGCGGACTCAGTGTACGGCTATTACCGGCTCGATGTGCTCAGTGCTGTGTTTACAAAACCCTCAGACAGACCGCCAAGAAACAACGCGTGCGACGCTAATCAGTGCACCGGCAACAGTTCAGCGTGTCTTAGATAATGACGGGTAGATACACGGATATAATAAATCGTGCCGGGTAACCTTTTTTTCACAAATGCCTTCGCCACCGGACCAACAGATGTTCTCATCCACCGCCGGGTCACAACTACGGTAAGACTACAGCACTAGGTAAATACTAAATCGCATTAACGTGTGAAACACGAAAGCACAATGCGTACGGACATACGGCGAACAATAAAATATAATATTATTATTATCGTAGAGCGTACCACCGGTCGACGGGGTGTATTATTATTATTACGGAAACGAAACGCTCGGGGCTCGGACGCACAATAGACGGCACACGAAAATACGAACGAACAACAGACGTCGATTTTGGCGGTTGGTTTTCGGATGGCGGGAACGGGACGCGGGGTCATACTGCATGATGTTGGCTACGGAAACGATAGGACGGTTCGGCATAATGTTGCCAGCTTCATACACATTCCGTTTTGGTTTGAAAACTTCAGCGCGCGCGGTGCATAGACATACCCATAGATAATAAAAGAATGGATAGGACGTCATGCCCACGAATTAAGATATACAGGATGCCGAACGACAGCCTGTTATCAGTATTTCTGTGAAGTCGAAAGTTTCCAGGTTCCCAAATTAACTTATGGCGCTGAAATGGTTACGGTGGCGAAATTCTTAACTAATTTTGTATAATTACGACCACGAATTAATTATCTTAATTCGTGATTACGACTATCAAGTATCATAATAAACATAATCACATAAGTAAAATCATGAGTAAAATATTAATTATTAAGATGGTATACAAGACATATTTCTCAACAAATGAATAATATTATAATAGGTACAATAAAAGTTTTCTTTGATATAATAATAATTCATTTGATAGGTATGTAAAATACTTTNGAGCAGTGTAGTACCTACAGATAATTATATTGTAATATAATATGGCTTATTGTCCGCTTATTGTCAAATATAGGTAAATGTAGATATATTATCACAGCTGTTTTTAAACTATTTAGTTCATGCTTCCCATAAAATAGATTTCATATGCTCAACAACTTCGATGAAAGATATAGGTAAATAATAAAAAAAACAAATAGTTAGGTATCTTTCTTTAATTATTTTTAAAAACAAATAGATACTAACTTATTTTATTTTGTATATTAAAAAAAGATTAATATTATGAACAGTACCTATGATTGTTTCCCACATACTAAAATTTGAAAATTAATGTCAAAAGCACAAACGGTTTAAAAATGAGTGCCCATATCTCATTATTTCTTGCCTCATATCGGGAACTGCTAGGTACTATGCAATATTTAAAAAATAGCTAATTACTACCAAATTGAATCAAATAAAATATTCTCAAAACATCTATTATATACCTAACAGCCGATAAAATAAAGGTACCTATTAGAAAAAATACATTTAAATTGGGAAACTGAACAAATATTAGCAGAGGACCTATCTATTATGTATCTACCAATAAACAAGTTCTACAGAAACTGAATTATATTTTTCAAGTACCTATATATACAATAATTATCTAAGGCCAGGGGGCCTTCAACACGCTGTTTTTAAATGAAGCCCATGAGCAGATTTTAAGCATAGCATGTTTAAACATGATACCTACATCATAATATGTTAATATTATTACCTAATAACCTTTTTTTTCTTATTATATAATTTTACTGTATATATTTACAGCCATCAATATATTTTAAAAGTAATAGGTGGCATGCTGCCTAAAGAGGTTAAAGGCCCCTGCTTTAAGAGGTGCTTAAAGAAAAAATTACGAATTTAAATGCACAAATAAAACAACCAGTGCAATACTGGTTCTACTACTTATTCTTTTATTTAGCGCACAATCAGTAGGAATGTCAATTATGATTAATACATATTATCTAGGTACCTATGTCATATTGTAAGAAATAGGTTCTGTGAGACATTGAGACATGGAAATACCTGCTTAAAATGTATAAACTTATTTATCTCCAAAAACAAGTACAAGAAAATAAAAAGTGTTTTTCAAAATGAAATAAATTGTCTCATCTGTAGGCATCTATCAGGAAAATTAAATTGTTGTTCACTCTTTTACTCTACATTTACACCCAGTGGCTTACCATTCGAGTACAAAACAATACCAGCATTTAAATAGTAAATTGTACAAACCTGTATTCGTACTTGTCGTCGTAATATTTGTCTGAATAGTAGATCTGTTTGTCAGACATTGTCGCGGACTCAGTGTACGGCTATTACCGGCTCGATGTGCTCAGTGTTGTGTTTACAAAACCCTCAGACAGACCGCCAAGAAACAACGCGTGCGACGCTAAACAGTGCACCGGCAACAGTTCAGCGTGTCTTAGATGATGACGGGTAGATACACGGATATAATAAATCGTGCCGGGTAACCTTTTTTTCACAAATGCCTTCGCCACCGGACCAACAGATGTTCTCATCCACCGCCGGGTCACAACTACGGTAAGACTACAGCACTAGGTAAATACTAAATCGCATTAACGTGTGAAACACGAAAGCACAATGCGTACGGACATACGGCGAACAATAAAATATAATATTATTATTATCGTAGAGCGTACCACCGGTCGACGGGGTGTATTATTATTATTACGGAAACGAAACGCTCGGGGCTCGGACGCACAATAGACGGCACACGAAAATACGAACGAACAACAGACGTCGATTTTGGCGGTTGGTTTTCGGAAGGCGGGAACGGGACGCGGGGTCATACTGCATGATGTTGGCTACGGAAACGATAGGACGGTTCGGCATAATGTTGCCAGCTTCATACACATTCCGTTTTGGTTTGAAAACCTTCAGCGCGCGCGGTGCATAGACATACCTATAAATATTGTTTATTTATATAATCTCTGTGGCGCGGAATGTTTATTTACCGGCGATGGCGGTGTCGCTGTGTTTGCGTCGCAAGGGGCAAGTAAAGTACCTGAAAATTCCTGGCTCGAAATGCTAATTGCCATTTGCCATGACAAATCACAGTAGTTATGAACCAATTAAAATGGTATTATTCTCATACAAATATTTAGGAGTGAATAGATTTTAGATATATCTACAGAATATTAAAAATAAGATGAGCAGCCTTATGATAGCTTTATTCTACAAAATTCGATGTCTTCATAAATCAACCATAGCGTTGGTAACCAACAGTTCATTGAAAAACCATTTGTGATGGAATTAATATTTTTGATGTTGAAAAAATTATAATTAAATAATAGTGTGTGGTACAAGTGACGTACAACGACATACATCAAGTTGATGGGGGGATGGTCTTGTTCCTTATCAAAAATAAGAGTAGAAACCGGATGGTATGTTGGTGTATAGAAATGAATTGTAGAACATTTTATGGAGTTTTACTTCTAGCTCAGCAGCTGCCAACAACGTAGCGACTTTTGGTCTTCCAAAACTATTCGTTCAAAGAACAATCAATATTGCTGTTTTAATTGACTGTACAATTGTCCACAAAATCCATCGGGATACCGATAATGTTCCCGGTGGGCAGATGGTCGTATTATAACTCTGGACNTAAGTAACCACGAGACTTCAGGTTAAGAAGCTTTGCAGCCTGTGTATTGGAATGGTTGTCAATGTTTTTTATTCCAGATAAACATGCATTACAACTTGTTTTCTTGCTTACACGTTTTGCTAAATATCTATTATAATGTAACAAGTAATTATTGATTTTAATTTATAAAACATCTATGTCATATTTACCCTGCTACATAATAAACGACACATTCAAATGTTTCAGCATCAGCAAAATCATTATTTCTAAAAATGTCATCAACATCCCAACGTCCTGCTTCAATCACTTGGTCAATATGATGTCTAAGTGTTAAAATTTTAGCATCTCTAATTTGTGTGGAGTTTTCTTTCATTGCATCTTTTAAGTCACCAATACTTATATATGGTATGTAATCAGAATCTTTAATTAAGTATTGATAAATAATAATCAATAACCTTTTATTTAAGTATCAATAAAGACATTTAATGAGATTCAAGTTACCTCCAGATAATGAACAATTTCCAGTTTTGGGTGGCTTTACCAAAGAGTATACTGAGAGAAGTCTATAGAGTTGAAGGAATGTCGGAGTGGATGGATGATCATTGGGACCTGAGGCTTGTCTAATAATTCCAAAGAATTTCTGAAATTTGTATTTTAGAAATAAATGTAAGTACACCTCACATAACAAACCTTTCTGTTTTTCATTATTTGGGTATCATACAGGTATATTAATACATTTATCATATAACTTATAACTAGTAGGCATATTTCTACATTTTGTAATACTTACTTCTAATGAGTCCTGGTTAAATTTTACTGTAAGTACATAGTGAAAGTTGCATTCATCTAATAAATAATTTGTCAAATCAATGGTTGATTGGAGTGTTATTCTCAATGATTCGGCAGTAGTTTTGGTTAAAAACTGTTTTTCATTTAAATACCCATCATTTAATTGTTTTTCCCAGTTGTTTAACCAAACTAAACTCTGTTTTAATACCTGTATTGTATAAACAATTGATTTTAATAAAAAAATTATTATAAACAAACATCTGACACTAGTCTTACAAACAATTAATTACATGACATAAAATGATCTACATACATATCCTATAAATAATTTGAACACACAAACACAGAAACCATGCAACACATAATAAACCTCTAAATCCTTGCTATTCTTTCTGATGCCTTCAGCTGGAAATTTCCTGTTAAGGGCATCAAACATGCTATTAATTTGTAAAGTAAATAATTCTGTCTCCGACGAATCTTCCAAACCTTCACAATCTTGTTCCCGGTAAAACCGTAGCCCCATTGCCATTGAATTACTAAACAACTAAATACATAATCATTTTTTTCAAAAATAATTTAATAAATAGTTGTTACACCAAAATCAAATATTTTAAATTTTATAGTTATACCAATTATAACATAATAAGAAAATTATTATACCTACCTGCGTGGCATACTTAACTTTCATTTTTGAAAGATTGTTAAGTTCTATATGACTCTTTGTTATCTTGGGACATACTTTAAGTATAAACTTTGAGTCGTTTTCTAGTACCTTACAGTAATGTTCCCATTTTATAAAATTTTTACTATGATGTACCTGAAAAATAATTTTGTTTCTTATAACTAAATTAAAATAAATGATATAATATAAAATATTATTACTTTTAACTGTTTATGCTGTACCAGCCGGTTTCTGATGTTTTTGATAATGTGAGGAGCATCAAAAAACACGAAGACTTTACGACTTTCGTCAAAAGGATTATCAAAAGTATTATTGAATTCTGATTGAATCCCACTTAT